ATATTAGAGTTAGAAAGAGTATTGCGAATTTGAGATGCACCAATAATAAAAAATAAAAAAAAAAGAGAGAGCGACAGAATAAAAAAAGAAAGAAAGAGAGAGAATTAGGGTTTGCTAAAGCAGGAAATAAAGAAAATGGAAAAAAAAAAAAAAGTAAAAATAGGTGAAAAGGAATTTGAAAGGACGCAAAATCAAGAAAGTTGCTAATAAATATATTTTTATCAATTATATATTTTATTAATGATTTATTATTATTATTATTGGAAGTAAGCCAAATCCTTCCACCAAAGCCAAAATAAAAAAGCTGAAAAGCCCAAAAATAGGAGAGTAGAAAAGACCAAATTAATTTACTTTTAGAAAAAAAAAATATCATTGTATTTCACTACTCAGTAGGGCACACATATCATTACCAGAGTATGATGATGGGGAGTTACAAAAGGAGTAAAATTTTTTTTTTTTTGACTTCTCAGTGAGTCCCTCCGTTCTAGAATGACATCACATATTCCAGTCGTGAACATGAAAAAGTTTTCTAAGACCTGAGATTTCATTTGCTTACGTTTTTCCCTAGTGAGATTGGTTTTGGAGTTTTCTCCTATAAAATTCAGCAACTTGTTTCATGATCTTCTTTTCTTCGTCGAAAACCACAATAAATTAACCTTGCAATTAATATTTAATTCTCTTTCTCTTTTTTTTTTTTTACTTTACTCACGGTACTTACTTGTCCGAAATTAAAATACATGTTTTGTATTTAGAATTGTTCTTATTTTTAGTTTTCACGTTTTTCACGAAAGAAAAATAAAAACGATTTCAAAACGGTATTTAGGTCTTTGGCACAATTAAAGATAAAAAACATAAATAAAAACGATTTTTTAGTTTAGTGTAAAATAAGAGAGAAATGAAAAATGACTTTTAGTCATTTTCTATTTTTTTTTTCATTTTCTCCTCTCTCAAGCAGAAAGAGAGACATTAATGAGTTTTTTATACTAAAAATAATTTCTTAATAAAACTACTAAATTGTTTTTAAAAATAATTTCTGTCTGAAATTAAAAATATTTTTATTTCTATTTTAAAAAAATAAAATTATTTTAAAATAAGTTACAAACTCACTCATGAATTTTGCTATTTGACTTTGAGAAATCACCATCCTATCGTGTCTCTTATCAATTGATTGTATCGTGTCACGTACGCTATCAATTTTGTCCGTTATAGGAAGTAGACTGATAAATCTTTTTCTACAGAAAGCGAAACGATTAAGAAGAATGACTATAGAAAGAACACCACTGGCCATTGTAATTTTCAAGAGCAGTGTCACATTTAATTTTTTTTCTATAGTAAAAAATTCTCACATAAAGTTACATCTCAACTCGAATGAGTGAACTAAACAGACCCTAAAAACGTGAAAAGTCGTCAAATCTTTAAATTATCAACTCTTAATATTATTATATAGTTGGACGGACATAAATATTTAATTTGTTCAATTTTTTTCTATGTCATATTCAAATGTTTAAAAAAATTTAGGGCTTATTCTTTTGAGTAAAAAATTCAAAAAAAGACAACTCGAGTTACAACTTTATTCGAGTTCATGTTCTTTTAAGTTTAAACTCGAGTTTAAACTCTAGTTCAAACTCGAGTTTATGACTAAAACTCGAGTTCAAGTTTCCCCTTCAACTTGAGTTCAGAAACTCGAACTCAAATTAATGAACAGTATTTTTTATATTTAAAATGCTATAACTTTTTTGTTTTAATTCTGATTGAGATGATTTTTTTTCTATGCGTTGACAACGAAAAGACGAATAAAACCCGACCCATATATCCTATTAAAATTTTTTATCAGCATTGAGTTTTTATTAAAATACTATCTAAATATAAATTTAAGTTTTGACTCACTCAAATACAAACTCAAAAAGATTCTTATCTCAAACCATAACTCAAATGTACACAACCAAACACAAACTCAAGTTACAAGTTCAACTCAAGTTATAACTCAAATTCAACTCAATAATTATACTCAAGTTAAACTCTAAAAGAACAAGCCCTTAGTTTTAAGCTGATTTATTATTCTCTTATGTAAATAGTTTAGTGAAAAAATTAAAGTAGAACACTCAAATGAAAATCATATTGATGTGACAAATTAAAAATAATTAATTAGAAGGTACGTAAGAGAAAACATATTTGAAAAGGATGTAAGAAAAATTATGTTTAAGTTGAGACATATTAAAAATTATTTTGGCGGGGCAACTTTCCTAAAGATATAGCATTAACGAACTACAAGAATGTATGGAAAAAAAAAATTTGAATACGGTTACATTTTAAAAGAAAAAATTGATTGGGGCGAATAAATTAGAAAGAAAAAATTTTACTAAAGATATTTTTTTAAATAAAATTAATTGGAATAAGTTAGAGATAAATTTTATTAATGATGAGGTTTCTATAAGATTTTATTCATGAAGAGACGTATATAAATTTTTTTTTTGAAAAACTAAGGGCCCGTTTAGTTCGTTGATTCGAGTTTTTAATTTGAGTTGAGATGTGATTTTATGTGAGAGCTTTTTATTGTAGCAAAAAAGTTAAATGTGATTGTTTGTGAGAGCTTTTTACTGTAGCAAAACTCGAATTAGCGAAATGAACGGGGCCTAAATGTAATAAAACAAAATTTAAAAAATCCAGGGGGCATATATATGAAAAATTTTGAAAAACTACATGCAACGAAACATATTTTCAAAAATCTAGGGGACAGATAGTAAAAATTTTGAAAAACTGTATGTACAAAAAAAATTTTCAAACATCCAGGGGGAGATGCCCCCGCTAGATATAACCTCCCTAGCCACTGCATATTCCCCCCCGGACATTATAAGCTCCCTCCGTCACTGCATAGGACCACCAGTGGTAATTTCAATCAATAAAGCTAGTTAAATATGGACAATTGTTAAAGTATAAAATTATTGTTGGTCCACCTCTTAACAGTTTAAATTTTTAAAATAGATTGATAAACTAATATGGTATCAGAGCGGGAGGTCATGAGTTTAAAACTCCGTAATTGCACTCTTTATCCCTATTTAAATTGTCATCATGTGTTGAGTCTTTAATATATCTCGGGTTTAAATATTCACGTGTTGGATTTTTTAATTAATCTACCCACACGATTGCTCATTGTCCAGCCAATACGTGTGAGAGAGAGTGTTAAAGTATACTTAAGTTTTTGGGATGGATTGGTAAACTAACAACCATGGACATAGGAATATCAATAATAATGTAATCTTAATAAATATATTTTAAAAGTGTATAAGTCAGAATTTTTACTTTTTATTCTTGATTCATATTTTTTTTAGTCAAATAATTACACGTATAAAATATATATATTAAGAGTAAAGAATAAAAGTCTAGACTCATTCACTATCGAAACTAAATTTTCTATTTTTTCTAATATATATATTTATAATAACACATTAATAATGCAACTTAATTAAACAATCTATAAATAATAGGGTTGTTCTTTTGAAGTGTAACTTGAGTGTAGTTTTTGAGTTGAATTTAAGTTATAACTTGAGTTGAAGTTGTAACTTGAATAAAGTTGAGTAAAGTTGAATAAAATTGAAACTTAAAAGAACGTGAACTTGAATAAAGTTAGAACTCGAGTTGTCTTTTTTTGAGTTTTTTAGACAAAAGAACATGCCCTAAACTTCTCGTTCCCACCACACGTCAAGTATATATGGTGTGTGGAAGCGAACACTACAATTATTTCAGGCACTTTGGACGTATTTGAACTTTTTCCTCCAATTTTTTTTTTAAAAATTAATACAAGAGAATAACAATAAAGAGTCGTAATAGTTTAAAAAATTTTGTGAGAAATCCAACCGTATGGAAGGTGGACGTAAGATGAAAAGTGTTGTTAATACAAAAACGGTTAATGAAGTTGGATGAAAGGTTCAACATATAATTATTTAAAGATTAACAATTTGAGATGGCGTGAAAGTAATATCAAATGAGATTTACTCTCTAGATATATTATAATATAACAATAAGTAGTAACTAATCTATCCCACAAACGGGCCCTTATGTTCTTAATTAATTGCTAAATAAAAGAGTACAATTATAGTCTTTTAGATTTAGTTAAAAAGAAAGGATTTCTCATGACTAATTGGAAAAACTTGTGTGCTTTAATTGCTAAAAAAGAGTACAATTATAGATGTAATTTAACTGTAAAAAATTACATCTAAAAATATTACATCAACTAGTTCTTCAAAAAAAAAAAAAATCCATCTACTTGGGTTATGTTTCTTTCTTTTTCTTTTTTCATAAATCAAATTGAGTTAGGTTGAGTAATTGACCTGGAATCCTGTCCACCTAAAAGAAAAATCGTGAAATGATTATTTTTAATAATTAATCGTGAGATTAATAGCCATTAAGATAGTGCTAGGAAATTCTAACAACCAATCACAATCGACAGTGGCAATAACGCGCCTTGATCGCCGTGCGCAAGTGGAGGATCCGTCAAAAATCCAATCTCTGATGATCAAAACTTTGATTCAATTTTAGGCGTCTACCTCGTTCATTTAATCGATTTGAGTTTTCAGTTTTAGATTTTTACAGTAAAAAATTCTTAAAAAATATCACATTAAACTTTTCTATTACAGTGAAAAGCTATTAAAAAATATCACATCTCAATTCGAATTGAAAACTCAAATCTACGAAGTGAACGAAGTCACAACTCAAATTATATTATTATAATATTTTTTTATATAAATTTAAATTTAATTTTTTATTATAATATTTTTTTTTATATATAACTCATGATTTAAATTGTATAAATAAATACATATAGAGTCTATTTAATTTATTAATTTAAAATTTTAACTTAAATTGAGATGTAATTTTATTTAAATTTTTTGGTAAAATGTACGGACATAAATTCTTTAAAGTTCCAAAGCATCGACCGATTCGCATCTCTTTTGAGTTTTGACCCTTTTATGCACCCCACGCTCATATCATATACACCGCAAAGTACTATATAATTATCGCCAACAATGCCGTACAAGTTTAGCTTCCTCTTTTGTCAGATTCGGTAAACGTCAACGACTCGGACCGAGTCAGAAAACCTGACTCACCAATTTTTTAGCGAGACGGAGGGAGCGAGTCCGAGAATCTCGTCAGTCTGACTCTCTCATTGTCAATCTAGTGCATCTGTTCTTCTCGGCTCATTCTCCAGGGTTTTGAGCAGCGAAAATGAGCTCAGTTGTGCAGGTTTCGATCTCTCTGATGAGAATTTTGTTGCGTATTGCTTTGGTTTCATTTGTTTCGATTCGTTGTGTGATTGACATGGAATTTGTTGTTGATTAGGGTTTCACCAAGTCGCTTGCCATGACCGTTCTCTCGGAGATCGGCGACAAGACCTTCTTCGCTGCCGCGGTTAGTGTTTTCTGTAAAATTTCTTTGTTGCGAGTGAAAATGATGATAATTTTGAAGTCCTCGATCTTATTTTAGTGTTTGAATTTGTGTAAACACTCAAGCTTTAAAAAAAAAATCTGAGCTTTTTTGATAGGAAAAATAAAAAAAACTGAGCTTGTCAAGGCGATATTTTCCTCAGTTATGGCCCAGGGTTTTTTTTTTCCCCCGAGACTTGATGATTAAATTTTTTCCTTTTGAGATCTTTATTAAAATATTGTTGTTTACGTAGAAAAGAGGTTTTTTTTTTTTTTTTTTTTTTTTTGGTTGTATGGCTTTTTAATTGAGAAAGTTCTTTGCTTGCTGCACTACTTTATTTTATTTTGTTTTATATATTTTTTTGATGATCATACTTTGTGTATTTTTTCTGAATTCTCTGTGAATAAAAATCAGTACCCAAATTCGTTTTCTGCTCTACATAATGCTATTCTTGTGATTCATCTGAAATTATGATGTTTGTTTGAAGATCCTAGCTATGCGCCACCCGAGGAGACTTGTGTTGTCTGGCTGCCTTTCATCTTTAATTGTGAGTTTATTATAACCTTGTACATTTTCAGTTATACTCACTGAAAAAAAAAAAAAACTCTTATTGTTACTTCTTAGGTCTCACTCGCTTGGAATATTTGCTTTCTAGGTCATGACTATTCTTTCAGCTGTTGTTGGCTGGGCAGCTCCTAATCTGGTAAGCATTATGAGTTTATCTGGAATATAGTTATCAGAGAAGCTAACATGTAGTATACACTCATGTCGCACAAGGACATTAGAGTTTCTATAAAGTCGGATTCAGTCCTAGACTCAATATTTGCGGCATTTGTCAACTTCATGAAGCTATTAACTTTCTTGAAATGGAATCTCATCCATGATCGTAAATGACGCAGATCTCACGGAAACTGACTCATCATGTGACAACATTGTTGTTCTTTGGGTTTGGGTTATGGTCTTTGTGGGATGCCTTCACTGGGGAAGGGTAATAATTTATTTTATTTGTTATGTGTACATTCTCCTGTATGTTTCAATTTTAAATTATGACTCTGAAATCTTGTCCAAATGTTTAAATTCGCTTTTAACTGGAATTGAATCCTGCTTCACTTAACAGAGAGGCTGAAGAATTGGCAGAAGTTGAGGCAAAATTGGTTAGTTTTTCTATCTTTTCAATAGATTTATCTTTGTCCCTTCTTGACCTCTTCTTTCTGGTGTCAACTTCCGGCTTTTTATTTATTTTCTTCTTGATAATTTATAGGATGCTGATTTTAAGGCCAACACAGGAACCACTAAGACTAATAGTAAGGTATTGGACAAACTTCATGGTATTTGCATTCTGTAGTCACACGTTATTGGCTTTCTTCTGCATGATTCTCTCTCAATCATTGGGTTTTAGATTTTTGACTACTTGGGTTTTCCAAATAAATGCCCATATTGTCTTAGAACATATTTCCGTCGAGTGTGGCGGCCACTCATTGGATTATGTTATATATGGCATTTGGCTCATACTATCACTAGATACTTCATGCTAAATGTATCAGTATTATTTGTCAAAAAAAATTTGTGTACATGTATTTATGATTTTTGTGGCCTTCCTAGGATGTTGACGAAATAAAAAAGCAGAAACAGCCGTTGCTCGCACAATTCTTTTCACCTATTTTTTTGAAGGTTGTACTTTCTATAGACTACAGAGTTCAACGCTGATTATGTGCAAGTGCAACAAACATCTCACCGCTTTTACCATGCTCTTTTGACAGGCATTTTCTATTACTTTTTTTGGAGAATGGGGTGACAAGAGCCAGGTAAGTTTACACCCCGTGAATCCATAATTGTTTGTTTCTTTTAACTACCAGCACTAAAGAAAACATTATTTTTCAGCTAGCTACCATCGGTTTAGCTGCAGATGAGAATCCAGTTGGTGTGGTTCTTGGTGGAATTATGTAAGCCATGCTTTTCAATCTAACAATTTATATATCAGAACGTGTGGAATAGTTTCGTTTATCATCAGTTGATACAGTGGGGAAAAAATAATAATTTATTGCTCTGTTATATCACCTATCTGTTTTGCCTTTTTGCGTAATTATAAATAGTGAAGATGGAACATAAATTGAGTTGTTTCCAAGATTCATTAATATGGACTAAACAAGTTAAAACTTGAAACCCTACCATGCTCAGCAGCACCTCTTTTACGTATGTACACAAATGGCTCTGCGCAGCATCTTTTTGTTCTCTTTAGAGATTTGGGAGTTGAATCTTTAAATCATTTGTGCGTCAAATTATCTTTTGTGCTTCTTACTGGTTAAGTTTCCATTTTTCCAGAGGACAAGCATTGTGTACTACTGCAGCTGTCCTTGGCGGAAAGAGCTTGGCATCTCAGATATCTGAGAAAATAGTAAGTGCCTGTACTTTCATTTGCTTCTTCTTCTTCTTCTTCTTCTTCTACTTCTTCTTCTTTCTTTTTGCCCCAATATAGAGATGATTATAGATTATGCTGTTAAGCAATTTGTAACACTTGAGAATTCTTCTCTGACAGGTTGCTTTATCAGGTGGTGTTCTTTTCATTGTTTTTGGATTGCAATCGTTCCTATCAACAGTTGGGTCATGATGTCGATGGTGAGTATTCTGTTATCGATGTCTTTTACATGAGCATCTTAGAAGGGTATTTACGTGAATAAGTTTGCAGTTCTTATCTTAGCCTTATGGGAAGATGTTTACCATCTTATTAGCTGGTGTAAGATACTACCTTTACAAATTCCACTTAAATATTTCAGTTATTTTATTGGATGGTACATACGAATTTTGAGTTATAAGTGATAGGGGGCACGGTTGATGATTTAGTTTAGGAAAGTGTAGAGACTATAAACTAGATGAGTATTTCTATTTATCAAACTGGATTTCCCAACTGCTAACTTTGTACATGCACACATGCATTTTGTGGATGCTGTCTACTAACTCTGGATCAACATCTCCCTTGTCTCTGCTGTTTGTGTCCAGGGATCGACCGATGGTTAGATGATCCAAAGAAAATGCACTAGAAAATCATTGTCAGAGTTTTCTTGTTATTTACTGGTGCAAGAGCTTCGAAAACACCACAAATAACCTTATGCTTGCAAGAACAAAGCTGTATTTTATTGTCGGCACCTCAGGGAATCATTAATCAGATGTTGCTCGTGCCAATTTGATCCCTGTTGTCTGCGGTTCTAATAATGCGGAATTTGGATAAAGCAATGGTATATTTTAGACTGGCGATTTTGACGCATATTTTTCTGCTAACTTCCATGGACCCCATTCCTCCTCCCTCTCCCCCCCATCCATCTACCCTTTTCATACGACATTCAGATATTAAATTTAACGGAATATTTGTGAAAGTCAACCTTAAATATGCTTTTCACGACATCCTGTTAAACATCCTTTGGACGCGTTTCTTGCTTGCCTATATCTCGTCCATGTCATCAAATTTAAATCAAAACTTTTGACCTTTGAAAGAGAACAACTTTCAGAGTGGACTTGCAATAACCCGATATCAAGAGTTATGTGTTGCTTTTTATCGTGGAACAAAGGGTCTTATATTGCAAATACATCTATAAGAGGCTTCTCTATTAAGGGTATAGGGAAAAAAAAAACAAAAAAAAACAACAGTAATAGTAATAATAATAATAATTATTATTATTATTATTAGTATTATAATTATAATTATAATTATAATAATTATTATTGTTATTATTATTATCATCATCATCATCATCATCATCATTGCAAGCACATTTTCGAACCGTTGGATTTTTATCAATTATGTTAAATTGTCACACTCATCTTAATATGATGTGATTATATGTTTAATCTGGCAATTCGAAATTGTACACCCTATTTGGCCTCATTCGATTGTGCGGGTAAAATACCGTATGCCATCTTTAATGCAAACTCAAAGTAGCCTTGAAAAGTACTAAAAGACACTACTAGCCAGTAGCCACCCTAATTTTTCTTGCTGACAAAAAGTGAGAAAAAAGAAAGATTATTTGGTTGGTTTGCTCATATAGAGTTCCCAATCTTACTTGGAATACATTGAAACGAGGTATAGGTTTAGAGATCAACCAATACGCATTTGATATCTGTACATATTTGTGTAGACTACTAATGGAGGTATAAAACTTTGGGATTTGCAAAGACTGAAGGCTAAATGATTACTCAACATTGTTGTTTTTGCAGCAAATTTTATGCCATGCCTGCGTTCCTTTTTCAATGAAACAAACATATATAATTCAATGAAAATGAGGAAATCAAAGAAAGTAAAGGCTTAGCACTATTCAGTTTAGTCCTTATAATCTTAGAAAGAGAAGATGATTCCAAACTACAGAACTAAGTCACTTTTATTGATAACTCCACCATCCCCTTGTCTTAATTTGACTATAGGATGACAAACATTCAATACGGATATGTTCATTTTGAGTTTATATACAGCATCCAATACTTGAGAGGTAACGTGTCTTCAAAGCAAAAGGGCCTTCTTCCCTGGTGTGTCATCAGCAGCCACCACTAGCAGGCTCGATCGAACTAAGAAGTCCATTGCCCCGCAGTTGCATGCAGTGTTCTTCGGCGTCGGCCTGATCACATATGATCACCACGGACAAGCCATTGTAGTGTGCTTCTTGCATAATATTCACAGCATTGTCAAGAGTCATCCCAGGGATAACCTTCATCAGTACTTGGACGACGTATTCCCGTTTGTTGAAGTTGTCGTTGTGCAGTATCACGCGATATGGCGGTGCTGTTTTCCTTGATTTCCTGCAACAATTTGAAGAAACACCAGGGCTAGCTTATAATTCACAATTAGAAGAAACCCCTTTTAGAAATATAAATATTTTCTATTGTATTTTTCTGTCACACCAGCCTCTTTTATTTGTTCTAAGGTACAATTTTTTTTTATGAAAATGAAAACAAAAAAAAAAAAACAAAAGAAAACATAATACAAAAAAAAAAAAAAAAAAATCTGAAAAGGTTTTGCAATCAAATGACAATATTGCTTGAATTTTGAATTTACAAAATTTCAATATTTTAATAATGCCAATTAGAAAAACATATTAGTGGCAGCCTCTACATGGTTATACAAATTTAGACCCAAGTGCGAAGAAGGAAGCGTAAATCAATGTAATGGCTACTTAGTGGTGATTGTATTAATAAGTAGTCATAATACAATTATTTAGGAGATATAAAACTTCCTCAAGCAATTCCCACTGTTCCTTCACATCAAGAATGGTCACACTTTTCTTATTGAGAATTTCAATTTCGGTTCATGAGATATTCAATTAACCAAATTCACATGAATGGAAAGATCATCAACAATTGATTATGCTAAGTTCAGTCTGGAAACTGGAAAGAAAGGAATAACAGATAACCTTGGAAATTTTGAAAACGATACCTCACATCGAACTCTGATTCACGGGCAGGAGTTTTCCCTATAGCTGGTCTCTCCAGAACACCTCCTCCTTTACCTGGCCCCGTTGTCGATACAGCCACGTGAATGCCAATACTCGGACATGGTCCTCTACAAAGAGACTGTTTATCCCCTATTTCACAGTTTTTATCAGTTTGTTGCCACCAATGTGAATCGTTAAGCACCAATTTTAAAGGTCGTTTCGTGCATAACATTCACTAACCAGTAAACAAATTAGGCCATCCAAATATTATGACAGGGCTTATAAAAGGATGCATATGAAAGATTAAGACTTAAATAAAACTAACAAGAAAGCATTCAAAGATTGAAATACACAATCTTCAGAATATGGACTGAAAAATACTATCGGTCCAAAAATGAAGTATGTAAATTTTAATTTAGATGTACTTAATAATAATAATAACAATAATTATTATAATAATTATAAAGAATATATAGCCACGGCATAATGCTAAAAAATATGAAATGAAACCATTTTTAACACAAATTACCAGTGGTACTATTAGAGAAAAGAAAACCAATATTGGTCCACCTCCTATTAGCTTAAGTCCTTTAGAATTGGTAAATTTAACACTGTATTAGAGCAAGAAGTCCTGGGTTCGTCCCTTGCAACTAATTTTCCATTAAGTTTTTGGGTGAATTGATAATCCAACAAACTTGGAAATGAACAATAAAGGTAAACCCATAATGATAAAAATTAAATAGGACTCTGGTCAACACATATATTGATAGTTAAAAATATCCTAATACCCACAGACAATTCTTTCTGTAGCATTAACCAAACTTAGTTTATCACCATGAAAACAAAGCCAAAGCAAGAGAATTTCTTAAACCCATTTGTGATTTCCCTAAAATTTACAGGAAAACAAACTAGTCCCAAGAACCCAAGAAAGCAAGTGTTTACATAAAAAATTAGTTGAAATCATTAATTGAATCTGATAACATAAATAACAAGTGCACCAGTTCAAGACCCAAATAAAAGGGGGAAAAAAAAACGCATCAAAAAACAAAACTAGAGGAAGAAATTTCTGAACTGAAGCAGCTAAAGACTTGCGATGTTCAATCAAGAGCAAGAAAACGTAATAGAAGAAATTGAACCAACATAAAAGAAAGAAAGAAAGAAAGAAAAAAAAAAAGAGTACGAGATTGAAGAAGAAATTACCTGGTTTAGGATTGATGACGTGGTTGGGAGATAGAGCAAGTTTTCCACAAATCGCAGTCTCCATGGTTGTCTCTTCTTTTTTTCTCTCTGTTGTGTGTGTATGTTGGGGAATGGGAAATGGAGAGATTTTTCCCAGGTGGCCTTATTGTCTCAAACTCGGCCAACAAAACTCGAAATGAAACTGGTGGTTCTTTCCGCAATAAAACGTCGTTTTCCAAGCTCTTAAGTAAAGGCCTCTTATGACTAAAAAAGGGGAAAAAATAAAATAAAATAAAATGAAGAGGTGGTCCGTGGTTGCACTTGTGAGTCTAATCTAACGGTGGATTTATAAATCTGCACACCTCAAATTAAAAGGCAAAATGTTAAAAAAAGAAAAAGAGAGATTAATGCGGTAGGTCTCGGAAAAAAGAAAATCACCAGTAGTTATTGTATTGAATTGCCGAATTTATATGGTAAATTATTTTTTTGCACTCTTTTATTTTGATATAATTTTGATGAAACATAACGATCCCAAAGAGATACTGTCGATAAGGGGCCCTACCTAAAAGGATTCAAAAAATAAAAAATAAAAGGCAAAAGGTTAAAAAGAAAAAAAAAAAAAAAGAGATTTATGTGTAGGTTTTGAAAAAAAGGAAATTACCCGTCGTTTTCTGTGTTAAATTGTCGAATTTGTACTGTAAATTATATTTTTTGCATTTTTTATTTTAATATAATTTCCATCATATCTAACAATAAAAAGCAAACATTATATATAGACGGCCTTCATAGAAAGACCTAAAAAAATGAAAAAGATAAGTTGGATGACATCTTATAATTTTTTTTATGTCTTTGCGTGGTTAACCTTTGAGTAGTCTATTTAGGTAATATAAATATGAAATTCTAATATTTACGGTATAAATTTGAAGGTGAAAATTTTTGCTTTCTTCATTTTCGGATGAATTTCCTGTTACTGAACATTAAACATAAAGAGGATTCGACAACTCTCAAAATTTCTATAAAAAAAAAAAAAAAGGTATAAGCTTCTTGCTTATTGAGTCACAAGCCTGGCGAAATTGTTGAATCTTTTTGGAGAGAATGAAGTAAACAACATATTTACAGTAAATTTTAAAAGTAAATAATAAATTTTAAAACTATTAGAATTAATTGGCCGTAAACAAAAAATTTAGGTGATAAAAAAGTTTTTGGGTTCGTTTAGTTTACTAATTTAAGTTGAAATGTGACTTTATGTGAAAAGTTTTTACTGTAATAAAAAAGTTAAATTTGATTATTTATGATAATTTTTTACTGTAACAAAATTTAAATTTTAAACTTAAATAGTAAAATGAACGAGACCTTTATTAGTTATAAAAAGAAAGTAAAAATATGTTTACCACTATTTACTTTAGATATTTTTAAAATGCTATTTACCCAATAAGAAATTTCGCTAATTCACTGGGCTTCGATAGTTGGCTCCCTTAAACGTAAAGTAGAGCAGGCACACTATTGTTCAGCGAGATGAAATAACAACGTTACTGTTGGTATTTCTAAACATGTATCATTCAAGTTAAATAACACGATTTAAAATATTTTGATCCCCTAAATAAATTTAATACCATTATATTATCGTTGTAAATATTTTATTTATTATGTTGTTTATTACAAATATTTTAAAAGCTATTATTTACCTAAAAAGCATTTGAAAAAAATATGCAACTTTCTCCCTTAATTTTTTTACTCTTTTTTAAAAACACTAGTTTGAGGTAAAATCCTATAAAAAATTTGATTTCACATATAGTAAAGTTTTTATTTACAATTTAGTGTTAATTATTTTATATTGATTTTAGTGAGAGTAATTTTTTTTATTTTCATAAATTTATAAAAAGAACGTCTTAAAGTAATTATAAGTGCGCTGGAATGATCTATCAATAGCTTTTAATGAATTTTTAACTAATAAATTGAAATAAAAAAATAATTATAGTTTTAGGACCCGTTTAATTCACTGATTCGAGTTTTTAATTTGAGTTGGGATGTGACTTTATGTGAGAACTTTTTACTGTAGTAAAAAAGTTAGATGTGACTGTTTCTGATAGCTTTTTACTGTAGCAAAACTCGAATCAGTAAAATGAACGGAACCTTAGATGGTTCAAGTTAAAAGTACTTGAAATGGTGATCACGTTAACTTATGTTAAGTGAGAATAATAATAATATTATAAAGTATTGTGAAAATAAAACTCTATTTTATTGAACATAAAATCAAATACAAAATTAATTAGGGTGTAAATATAAAAATGAAAAAAGCTATTTAACTAAGGGCGTATTTGAGAAAACTAATTAGGATATGCATATGTAAAAGAAAAAGATGTTTAGCTAAGGAATATTTGAGAATAATTATTTTAGTTGTCTTTTTTTTTTTCAAATATGAAACACATTTAAAAAACAAATCAAATAGAAAACTAATTAGGTTGTACATATGAGAAGTAAAAAAATGTTTGATTATGAATATTTGAAAAAAAATTATTTCAATGTAAAAAACAACAAAATTAGTCAAATACATCTAGAACCCGTTATTTTCACAATTTGAATCACAACCTAAATTTTTTGTTGTAGTATTTTCTCTTATAAAATTTTCTATTCAATTTTTTTTCTACAATGTTTCCTCTCACGTAAATTTACTTTTCAACTTAAGTCTTCAATTCGAACCTACGAAAAGAACGGATCCTTAATCTAACATATATAGAGGATTGTACGAGCATCTCCAAGGAAGTTCTCTAAATTTTAGCTAAATTATAGTTAAAATGACTAAAAAGTCATTTTAACTAGAAACTTATTTAAACTAAAAACTTTTTAATGAGTTACTCCAACCATACTTTCTATTTTAGCTTAACATAGATTAGTTTAATATTTTTTTTTAGTTTAAAATATAAATAACTTTTTTTAACTTTTACTTTATGTCAAAATAAATAATAAAATAATAAAAATAATAAAAATAATAAATAGCTAGCTATATTTAGCTAGTGGAAAATGATTTAGTCAAAATTGCTAACCATTTAGCTAATAGTTGTAAGAAGCTAAATCATTAGCTGTTTTGGCTAAAAACATGAAATGACTAATATGGTTAGAGTTGCTCTAATAAAAGTATTTGTGTAAAGATATATTTATAAAAATATTGGCATTGAGAAATAAAATAATTTAATAAAGTGGAACAAATATCAATGAAGAATAAGAATGTAAATAAAAAACAATTAAGAGTAAAAAAAAGAGAAAAAAAACACAAAGCAAAAAGAAAAAAGAAAAAAGGAACTAAACGTTCCTGCCACGTGGTGCCCAAGCATTCATTAGGGTATCCTAATTTATATATCTAACAATACATAAAAGAATTAAAGTTTTTTTTTTTCTATGGGTTACAGTCTATCCACTTGTCTTTTTTTTTCTTTTTTACTTTTTATCCTTTTTTGTGAATTTTTTTACATTTTAATTTTTTATGTGTTTTAAAAAAATATATTATTCCTCACTTTATTTTTGTGAGAGTAATTTTTTCACATATTCTTATTTTATTTTTAATTGGTTAAAATAATTTTATTGAAATGTGTCCCTACTTATTTTTTGGGGTCAATTATTGTCTTTACACATATTTCTTTTTAAAATAAATTAAAAAAAATCCTTAAATAATTGTATAAATAATTTCTCATTTTTAGGTAAATAATAAATTTTTAAGTGTCTCTAATACAATAATACGTGTGGAGCACGTTGTAAAACTAATATGTAGAAAAGGGGTTACTTGTGTCATTTGGCAAGTTAGTTTTGGTGTTTTGAATCAAAAGGTTAATCTGAAATGGTGTATGACAATGTTTTTCTAGACCTATTCTGAATCATTGATTTAACAACTTGAACAAAAAACAAACCCCAAATCCGAAATCACCGTTTTTAACATTTTGAACCAAAATGTTGTGTTTTTCACTCAAGGTCCCGCCTCATTTGAACCCTTTTTCTTAAAAAACATCATCTTTTAATTACGCATCAACCAAAATTTCAAAATTTAATCCATTTTCAGACTAAATCTCAACTGCATAGCCAAAGGCTGGCCGATGCCCGTTCGGGTCGGATCACTATCCAGGCAAGAAATCCCCAACTTAAACCCAACAGAGCTTAAAGTAAAATATTTATTTGTTCTTGTGCTAAGAAGATTTATCTATCTTATGAATGTCGTGAAACTTAGTCTGGGTATTTTTTTTCCGCCAAAAAAAATGATTCTATGGTGGCTTTTGAATGATTATTATGGAAAAAATTGCTGATTGTTGGTGAGAAAGCTCCAAAGTTTATAATTAAATGAGCATTCTTCCAATTTGTATGAATCTCGATTTGAGAATGACTGGGTTGATCTGGATATGGATCTTTATCGCCGGACTATGGCACTGAGGTCTGTTCAGGTACGAATTAGGTGTGCTTAAGATAATTACAATTCAACATTTGAAGGCCTCTTTTGTGTCATTTGCATTTTTAATTTTTGATCTTGCAAATGCAAACAATGACTTGAGAAGATCTCCGCTTTTCATTTCGCTTCATTGTATAATAGGGGTCCCAATTAATCTACAATTTTTTTTTTTTTTCTCTTTTGCACCAAATGATGTAGGGTAGCAAGTCAATTGTCGTTTTTGTTTTCAGTTGGCGAAAAATATTTGTAAAATGTTGTACCTTACCAGTTAAAGTTTAGTAACTAATTTATTACTTCATTTGGTACCAAAAAAAAAAAAATGATAATTATCTTAGGATCCCTAGCGTCACCCCGATTAAAATAAAGTTTCTTTTAAACAAGAAGATGTTAGAAAACAAGGCCTGAGGTGATAGTTTGGTGCATTTTAAGAACTGGGAACTGATAATTTTTATTGAATTGAATAAGTTGAAATTTGGCAGTGGTATCCTGGGCACATTGCTAAAACCGAAAAAGTGCTTAAAGAACAGCTAAAGTTGATGGACGTGGTGATAGAAGTGCGAGATGTAAGAATCCCCATGTCAACTAGTCATCCACAGGTCAGAGCTTCTTAATACAGTTTTAGTAGTTAATAAGGTAGTTAGCAACAAAAAAAAGTAGTTAATAAGTTAGTTGGTGTAAATATGTTTAGTTGAACATACGTGCATTGAATATTTGGTTTATGTATTTTGTGTTTGTGATGCTGAGAAACTATTGCTTTTAGTAGGGAAACTACTTAAGTTCTCTCTTTACTGTTTTCTTGAATAAGAAACTGAAAAAAACTGTCTAGAAACTATATCATTTTCAGCTATTTGACTACTTTTT